TTGTATCTTTACCATTTTCTTCTTCTTCTTCTTCTTAAAGGATACCTTTCAGCATTTCATATAATACTGGTTTGGTGGTGATGAGCTCTTTTAGCTTTTTCTTATCTGTGAAGCTCTTTATCTGACCTTCAATTCTGAATGATAGCTTTGCTGGATAAAGTAATCTTGGTTGTAGGTTCTTGGTATTTAGTACTTTGAATATTTCTTGCCACTCCCTTCTTGCCTGCATACTTTCTGTTGAGAAATTAGCTGACAGTCATATGGGTACTCCCTTGTAGGTAACTGACAGTCTTTCTCTTGCTGCTTTTAAGATTCTCTCTTTGTCTTTTGCTCTTGGCATTTTAATTATGATGTGTCTTGGTGTGGTCCTCTTTGGATTCCTTTTGTTTGGGGTTCTCTGCGCTTCCTGGACTTGTAAGTCTATTTCTTTCACCAGGTAGGGGAAGTTTTCTGTCATTATTTCTTCAAATAGGTTTTCAATATCTTGCTCTCTCTCTTCTTCTGGCACCCCTATAATTCGGATGTTGGTACGCTTGAAGCTGTCCCAGAGGCTCCTTACACTATCTTCGTATTTTTGGATTCTTTTTTCATTTTGCTTTTCCGGTTGGGTGTTTTTTGCTTCTTCGTATTTCAAATCTTTGACTTGATTCTTGCGATCCTCTAGTCTGCTGTTGGGGGTCTGTATAATATTCTTTATTTCAGTCAGTGTATGCTTAATTTCTAGTTGGTCCTTTATTACTACCTCGAGGGTCTCATTAGATTTCTTGAGGGTCTCATTAAGTTTATCGGTGGTTTCTAGAAAATTCTTGAAAAACCTTAAAAGTGTGGTTTTGAACTCTATATCCAGTAGTTTGCTTTCCTCCATTTCTGTCATTTGTGTCCTGTTTCTTTGTCTCCGCATTTTTTTATGCTTCGCTGTGTCGATAGAGTGGCTTTGTGTGCTAGGTGTCCTATAGGGCCCAGTGGCTCAGCCTCCCCAATTACCTGAGGTAGACACTCTTGGTGCACCCCCTGATGGGCTTTGTGCATAGTCTTGTTGTAGTTAAACCTTGATTGTTGTAGGTAACTCTGGGAGGGATTGACCTCCAGGCCAATTGGCTGTGAGAATCAGCTGTGTCTGTAGTGGGAGAACTTCTGTGCTGGAGAAACCCCTTCTGGGGCAAGACTTGCTTTAGTGGGGCTTTGGTGCTCACTGAGTCTGCCCCCTGAGTGTGTCCTTTATGAATACGAGAAGCTGCAATTTGGATGGTCCCACTCCGACCACCAGGCACTCTGGTTCCTGGATCTCTAAGGAGGTGCTAATCTAGCCTCTGCCTGAGGCTATCCAGCAGGAGCCAGCTGTGACACAATGAAAGTTGCAGTGGGGCCTTGGGCCATCAGCAATTTGTTAGGTAATTATCAGATTGCAAAGGGCCAGGTATTTCATATGCAAAAGCCTCGTGGCTTGGGTGGGGCGGGGTCCCAGGGGATCAACAGGGTGGAGCGAGCAGTTATGGCTGCTCTCAGTTCTGCTCTCAGAGCCCCTGCTTCTCAGTGTCTTGACAATCGCTGCAAGCACCCCCGAGAGAAAGCTGCCCTCGAGTTCTGACCAATGCCAGACAGCCCAGTTTCTCTCATATGAGTCTGGGTCCCCAGAGACTCACCCGGAACTGGAGCTCAGAGCTTGAGACTCCCTCCTGATTGAAAAAGACAACCGTGTCCTTAGCCGCCAACCCTCTCTGCATGCGCCTCTGTATCTCTGTATTTTACTTCCGTACCGCAGCTCCTCTGAGTCTCGGTATGCTTTTTTCTTTCTTTCTAGTTGTAGAATTTCCATTCAGCCAGCCTTCTTGTGGTTCTGGATGATGTCCGTTTCGTCTTTTAGTTGTATTTTTGAAGTGGTTGTGCGAGGCAGCAATCTCTGGTGTTTACCTATGCCGTCATCTTGGTTTCTCCTCCAGGAAGTTTTTAATTTCTTTCTTGATCTTATTGGTAACCCATTCATTGTTTAATAAAATGCTATTTATCCTCCATATGTTTGAATATTTTGGGGTGTTTTTACTGTAGTTGATTTCTAATTTCATTCCACTGTGATCTGAGAAGATGCTTGATATGATTTCAATCTTCTTGAACTTTTAAAGACTTGTTTTGTATCCTAAAATGTGGTCTATCTTTGTGAATGATCCATGTGCACTTGAGAAGAATGTATATTTTGCTGCATTGGGGTGAAATGTTCTATAAATGTTTACTGGTATTAGATCCTTTAGAGTCTCTGTTTACTTGTTAATTTTTTTGTCTGGGACATCTTTCTAGTGAAGTTAGAGGGGTGTTAAAGTCCCCTATTATGACTGTATTGTTGTGAATCTTTCCATTAAAGTTCTCTAAAATTTTTAAAAATATATTTAGGTGCACCTATATTGGGTGCATATATGTTTACCAGGGTTATATCCTCTTGTTAAATCTATCCCTTTAGGATTATGTAGTGATCTTTGTTGTTTCTTGTGATGGCCTTCATTTTAAAGTTTATTTTTTCAGATATGAGTGTTGCTACTGCAGCTTTTTTTTCTTTTTCATTTCTTGGAAAATTATTTTTCCACCCCCTCACTTTCATCCTGTGTGTGTCTTTTGTTTTGAGGTGGGTCTCTTGCAGACAGCATATAGTTGGGTCATGTTTTTGTATCCATTCAGTTATCCTATGCCTTTTGATTGGAGCATTTAATCCATTTACATTTAGGGTTATTGAGAGGAACTTATTTATAGCCATTTCAATTCAGTATAGCTAGGTTTCTCTCTCTGTTTCTTCTTCTCAGCAATCCCTTTAGCATTTCTTGTAATGCTGGCTTGGTGGTGATGAACTCCTTTAGCCTTTTTATTTTTTTGTCTGGAAAGCTCTTCATTTGACCATATTTTTTGAATAATCGCCTTGCTGGATATAGTAATCCTGGTCTCAGATCCTTGCTTTCCATTACCTTAAGTACTTCATGCCATTCCCTACTGGCTTGTAGGGTTACTGCTGAGAAATCAGGTGTCAGCCTTTTGGGAACTCCTTTGTAGGTAATAGTTTTCTTTTCTCTTGCTGCCTTTAAGATTCCCTTATTGTCTTTAATTTGGGGCATTTTAATTTTAATTATGATGTGTCTGTGCATGGGTCTGTTCAGGTTGTTCTTGTTCTCTGTGCCTCCTGAACTTGTGTGACTTTTTCCTTTACCAGGTTGGGAAAGTTTTCTACCATTATTTCTTCAAACACCTTCTCTTTTCCTTTCTTCCTTTCTGCCTCTTCTGGCACAACTGCAACTCTAATATTGTTATGTTTCACATTGTCCCAGAGCTCCCTCTAGCTGCCTCCTGTTTTTTAATTTTTTTTTCTTTTTGGTTCTCTGAGTGATATTTTCGATTCTGTTTTCTAATTCATTGATTAGATCCTCAGCTTCCCCAAATCTACTGTGTATTCCTTCCAATGTGTTCTTTGTTTGTGTTATGTCATTATTTATCTCAGACTGTTCTTTTTTCATAGTTACTATATCTTTTTTCATATTGTTGAGCATTTTTACCATGATTATTCTGAACTCTGTTTCTGGTAAGTTTCTTATCTCTGCTTCATTTACCTCTTCTTCTGGAGAATTCTCTAGTTCTTTCATTTGGGGGTTGTTTCTTTGTCTCCTCATTTTGGTTGTCTGGGTTTGTGACTATGTTTTAGGCAGATGTTCTACACCTCTCAATTTCTATTGCAGGACAGTGTTAAAGGCAGTTTCTGACTAATTGGATCAGGCAAAGACTTAAAGCCTCCAGAGACCGCCTCTGTCTACAGACTAATAGAATTCCAACTTGAATTGCCCCCGGACAATCATTCTCAGGTATAGCAAGAGTTTTTTCAACAGGGTGGGGCAGTTGCTTCTGCCTGGAGGCTAATTGCTACTTTTAAGATCTTAAGTGACCTCAGGGCAAGGTGTTGTCTAATAGGGTGTGTCGACTTTCTCCCCCACCAGGCAAGGCAAATGTCTATGTGGGAAAGATGTCCTCTGCTGTGTAAGGGAATGACTCAGCCCAGGAAACTTGGGGTGTCTGCCTTCTGAGCTCTACCCCTCAAGTTCTCAGTCCTGGGTTCTGCTCTCACAGCTCCATTCCTCTTCACCCTCCCTCTGCCAGAGCACAAGTTGGGTGGCACCACAGGGAATTTTTGTACATTGGCCCTTCAAGAGGGTGCCTGAACTTTCAGCTGCCACTCCCTGGCAGACAGCACCCCACTGCTTTTCACAGCTACATGTTATGTGGGTACCCTTCTCAGATTTTCTGCTCTCTGCTGGGGAAGCCAGCTTGAAGATTAGATCCCAGAGTTCTCAGTGGCACCCCTCCACAGCTGAGATATCTCTCCAAAACTTCAGTTCCTGTCTGTGGGCACTCGGTCAGATCTTTTGCAACCCCACCCCTCATACCAGTCTCTGTGTGGTCTCCACCTTCAGTCCTCAGATATCAGGGTTCTCTCCTGTGAGTTTTCTGTTGATTATCAGGGAGCATTTCAGTATTTCAGTTGTAATTACAGCTTATTCCTGGGAGCATGTCTTTGCAGCATCCACCTACTCTGATGCCATTTTTAATCCTTGTTATCCTCTTTTTAAAGATTAAGAGACAGTTTCAGAGAGGTTAAATAGTTTGCTTACGGACACAGCCAAGTTTCAAACCTAGATCTAAGTCCAGTTCTTCTGCCTGACCCTTACACATGTTCCCTAATAAACTAAAGGGCTGATGAGAACAACAGCAAGAATGAAACCTTCTGAGATGCCTCTGTCTGTGCCTTAACCTAAACAAATCTGTTTTATTTGTTTTAGATATAGTTTTTACTGTAAATGTAAGTTTGTAATCTGTTTTTTCACATAGCACTATTCACAATCTTTAAAACATCATTTGTAATGACTATGTAATATTACAACTAATGTACCACTCTTTATTTAATCTTTCCCCTAAACTTTAAATTTTTTTGGTATTCTAATTTTACAGAATATTAAATTATGTTGAAATATATGCAATTTGCATAAAGTTTCATCTTTTATTCTTATTTATTTCCAAAGTACAGATTACTGAAAACAGACTTGTTGCTCAAAGTGAATAAACATTTCTAAAGATCTTGACACATATTGCTTAGAAAAAAATCTAAATAAAAGTGTGGCACAATTTGCACTTTCAGCGAGGACTGTAAATTTCACAAATGACTACAATGAACACCAAATGGAGAAAATATCATTTGAATATTGCCAAGTCTAAGTAAAAGACTTATATAGAAGATAGATGACCATAACTTGATAATGGAAAACATTCTTGTCCTCATTCAAATGATTCCAGGCTAAAAAAAAAAAAGAAAAAAAGAAAAACCAAAGTAAGTAAAGTAGTAAATTTTACTTGATTAATAATTCATAATCCAGGTAGCAACTGAAATTTATAGTTTATATTCAAAACATAATGGACTAGAAAAATATCTATTTGAAACTGCTAGGAAAGGAATTATCTAATACTAGAGGCCCAGTGAACAGATTCATGGACTGGTGGGGGCGTGGCCTACAGGGATTGACCTGCTGTGGGAACACCGCTCATCTCAGTCAGCAGAGTGGCACTCCCACTGTGGGAGCACACTGACCACCAGGGGGCAGCTCCTGCCTTGAGCGTCTGCCCCCTGGTGGTCAGTGCGCATCATAGCGACTCGTCGACCAGTTGTTCTGCCGTTTGGTCACTGGGCTTTTATATATAGACTAGAGGCCCGGTGCACAAACATTTGTGCACTCGGCGGGGAGAGGGTGTCTCTCAGCCTGGCCTGTGCCCTCTCGCAGTCTGGGACCACTCGGGAGATAATGACCTGCTGGCTTAGGCCTGCTCCCGGGTGGCAGAGGGCAGGCCCAATCCCTAGGTGCAGCCCCTGGTCAGGCTCAGAGCAGAGCCGATTGGGGAGTTGGGGCACCGCCCCCTGTCACACTCAAGGCAGGGTCGATAGAGAGGTTGTGGCGCCACCCCGGTGATGCACAGAGCAGGGCCAATCAGGGGGTTAGGGCGCTGCCCCCTATCACACACAGAGCAGGGCCGATAGGGGAGTTGGGGCACCACTCCCTGTCACACACAGAGCAGGGCTGATCAGGGGATTGGGGCGCCTTCCCCTGTCACGAATAGAGCAGGGTGGATAGGGAGGTTGTGGCCCCGCCCCCTGTCAAACACAGAGCTGAAGAGCAATCAGGGGGTTTGGGCGCTGCCCCCTGTCATGCTGATCCCAGTGCCGGGAGGGCTCGCCGGCTCCGCTGATCCCGGTGCAGGGAAGCATATTACCCTTTTACTATATAGGATAGAGGCCTGGTGCATGGGTTGGGGCCAGCTGGTTTGCCCTGAAGGATGTTCTGGATCATGGTGGGGGTCCCCACAGGGGTCCCTGGCCAGCCTGGATGAGGGGATGATGGCTGTTTGCAGCTGGTCACACCCCCTTCAGTGTGGGGGTCCCCACTGGGGTGCCTGGCCAGTCTGGGTGAGGAGCTGAGGGCTGTTTTCAGTCTGGCAGGTGACTAAAGCTCCCAACTGCTCCTTTTTTTTTTTTTTTTTTTTTTTTTTTTTTATTCTGGGCCAGCTTTAGCTCTGAGGCTTGGCTCCAACTCTTAGGCCTCGGCTGCTAAAAGCAGGTATCTGGTTTGTTTGGGTTCTATAATCGATACACTGTTTCAACTCCAGCTCTGAGATCCTGGCTGGCTGAAAGCTGGTTTCTGGGGTTTTGTTTAGCTTCTATATTTGTTACAATGTTTCAAACTGCAAGCTCAGAGGCCGGCAGCCACAGGCGGGGAACGTTGGAGTCCTCCGTCACTGAAGCAAGCAAGCCTCATGTTCACTTGAAGCTGCCTGGCTGCTGGCCGCCATCTTGGCTGGCAGTTAATTTGCATATCTCACTGATTAGCCAATGGGAAGGGTAGCGGATGTACGGCTAATTACCATGTTTCTCTTTTAGTAGATAGGATATGTTGTTAAACAAGACACAAGATCTCAGTTATGATTTCTCTTCACTCCAGACTTGCTTGATAGGTTTAGTAGTTTCAATTATAACTAAATTAACATTAATATTTTAGCAGATGATGCAGAAATAGTTTCAATAGATAAAGACATATTTCACATCTTAAAAACCACTCAGTACAAAGAAAGATTTTTAGCTGAATGTACCAGCATTCAAAGAAATGAACAAAAAATTCTCAATGCACATAAATGCATATATTTATTTGAGCTTTAGGTTATAACTACATGGAACATTAAAATGTTTCTCACTGAAAACACTGAGTTATTTTCATCACGCAACACAGAATACAGATTTTACTATTACATTGATTTAATCCATATAGACAAATCAACAGATACATTGAAAATATTGAAAAAATTAGCTGTATTAGGGGTTGAATAAAGAAAGGTGAGGGCAGTAGGAATGGAAATAATGGAATTCTAAAAGCCTTTTAAAGAAACTCATTGAATCATGGGCAGTGAGGGTAAAATGGGTGAGGTACAGGTGCCAATGGGGGTCTGTTACCTGGATGATGACTGAATAGGTTCCACATAGTATCTTGGATAACTGAATGACTACTCTGATGAGGCAGATGATCACTTGAAGCCCACTGAGTGCTATGAGAATGGAAAACAAAATGATGTTCCACTCCACTACATGTGCAGGTTCAAGGCACTGAATCCATATGCTGGAATCTGTTAGGAAACTGAGAGCAAGGAAGGAAATGGTCAAAAAGAGCCAATAAGGCCAAAGCCTACATACTTGGTCCAAGGAAGAAGGCTACAGTTATTTATATGTTTGGGACAGTAATACATATGATTAAAATATATATTATTAAATATGAATTCATATATTTAAAGAAATCATTCAGTACGTATATTGAACATCTCTCTCTATATAAAAACCTAAGTGACCATTATGACTGGTTGACCAAATGACCGGTTGCTATGATGTGCACTGACCACCAGGGGCCAGATGTTCAAAGCAGGACCTGCTCCCTGGTGGTCAGTGTGCTCCCACAGTCAACCTCCCGCAGCCAGCCAACCTCCTGTGGTCCCTCCCCCTGGCCGGCCGGGCACCCTCCTACCCCCCTGATCGGCTCCAATCACCAGTCAGGCCGAGGAACCCCACCTGTGCACGAATTCATGCACTGGGCCTCTAGTATAGTATATATAGCACCAGACTATGCTTATTGTAAACATGGTACCTGACTCAGAGACAATTATAATTCAATTAGGAAGCAAGACACATACTGAAGAGTTCAATAGCAATGAAAAGCAGCATAGGTCAATACCAAGAGAGGTAGAGACTGCCTGTCTCTGGGAGTCCAGAAGTTAGCCTGAGCTGTCGGGGATAGAGCTGAGCTTGCACCGGATATAAAATCACACAGGTGGCAAAATGAAAAAGAGAAATTCTGCTAGATATTCCTAGACACTGTCCCAATACTGTCTAGAACAGTGGTCCTCAAACTTGAGCATGTATCAGGATTGTAGAGGGCTTGTGAAAATGCAGATTGTGGGGCCCCACCACAGTGTTTTTGATTCAGAAATTTTGGGTGGGGCTCAAGACTACATTTCTAAGTTCCCAGGTGATGGTGATGTTGCTGGTCTGGGGTCCACAGTGTGAGGACTTCTTCAGAGTGTTACTGTCCTGCAGTCTAAGAAGATTTAGACTGTGAGGTGGGAATGCAAAAGCTGGAAAGGTTTGATCAGTCTAGTTCAGCATAGAATTGTGAGAATTAAACAACTTCCAAGATAATTTTAAAGCCACACTGAATCAACCTGACAACTTTTGCCCACTTCCAGGTCTACCATGACCATTAGCTCTTCTTATAAGGAGGACACACTCTCTGTTCAACTAAATCAAAATGGAAAACTGGTCTTTAAAAAGAATCACCCAAACAAAAACAATCAAACCTATTTACAGGGTGGAATTTTCTATAAATATCTTGTCAATAGTAAGATGATTTTTCTTAAAACAGCAATTTGGGCAACGTGGGTACCAGCAAAAGTGGCTGTGGGTATTAATGCCTGTGGCAGAAAGGATTAGTGCCCTCACCACCACAACCTTTATTTTCTCTCTCCCCACTCCATTTCTTTCTTATTCCCCTCCATTAACTCTCTTTCCTATTCTCTATGCTCCAGTACACTGAGAGGCACTCTGAAAATTTTGTGATATTGCCAATGACCCTTAGGTCTCAAGATGTAAAGAGCATTGAATATGAAGTCACAACTCCCAGATTTGTAGGATCTTGGATAAGGGATATTACATCTCCGACCTTTAGAGTCTTATCTGGACAGTGAGCTTCAAATATCTAACTCTAAGGTTACTGTGACTGTTTGTTGAGAATTATGTAAAAATTCTTGTAACCTATGAGCACCAACAGGGTCTGCAAGGAATAGAGAATCTGGACCAGGTGAATGCGAATATAAAGGGCAACTTGAAAGGAGTAATGGAGAGGCATGTGGGAAGCCTGAGATTCTTGCAATCGAAAGGGGAGGCTTCTTTGGTTTTGGGGTGGGGAAAAGTTCAGGGGCTAATGGTATAAAAAGAGGATTTTTTGCAGCCAGCAGGACTTGATACATAGGGTCCCTTTCCTGAAGTCCTTCAATTCCACAGGATTGTCTCTAAATTCTCAGAAAGGCCTGGGGTTGTGTTTCAGGTTCTCCTGACCTGAGGAAGAGCTTTGGCCAGAGCACCTTGTGGAACCTTCAGAATAAAGGCAACACAGAAGCAGTTCTGCCAAGGAGCTCTAGGTGAGCATGTGAGACTTCAAATAGATGTGGGTCTTGAACAATAAAGGCAGTCATAGGGAGTTAAGAAGAAAATGTGATTTTCTCAGGAAGTGGTACCGACACTCCCTCATTTTATTCCACTAGAATTCTGAGCACAGGATGAGACAGGACAAGATTCAGTTACCCTCTCCTGTGTCTCTGCCTGGGCCCTGTTTCCTTTTGAGCTGCCTCTGCAGATGCTGGTAGGCCAGTAAGCTCAGCACAGTGCTAGTGGGAGGCATTCTGTGATCCAGCATGAATCCTTCAACAGCTGAACTACCATACCAGCCTTTTGAGAAGACTTCTAGACTAGAGTCTTCTTCAGTATATGCTAGAGAAGCTTCTGGCTCCATCTACAAGCCTCTGCACCTAGGCATGTCTCTGCATCTCAGCCTGCACTTTGTTACTCGCTCTGCCCCTGCTGGCATAGCTCTGGGTGGTGCCCATCCACGGGCACTGTGATTCTCTCTCAGCTGAGTCCTTTTATATCTGTAACTTACCACATGCTCAACCTGGCCACAAAGCAAGACTGACTTCCCAGAGCCACTCAACTGCTCCAGCAGTTGCCAGACCACAGTAACCATGAAGTCCTATTCTGAAGTATGGAAGAAACATGTCTTTCATTTGGATATATCCATGATAGCCTCAAAACAGTGAGTGCATGTGGCATTAAAAGACTGGAGAAAAAAAAAAATCTGAACAATGATCAGAGCAGGAACATACTGGTCTGGAGATTAGTAAATGAATAGGAAAATTCTGCACTAAAGTAACTGCATGGAACACCAAAGTGATCATGGAAAATGAGCATGAGCATTAAGTCAGGTAATTCAAGCCTAATTCCTTGGCTTGAGGAATTATTCCTTACCGTCCTGCAGTGCCTTCAAAGGCGTATTCCCAGCCATTGAGGGTGCGGCAGTATGGGCCTTGGACGAGGCCCAAAGCTGATATGGCCAGGCAGTATCCAGAGAAAGAAATTCCAAGGCCAGAGAATATAATTGACAGCAGTGTCTAAATTAAACACAGAAGAAGGAGGTTAGTGCCATAGAGTGAGACAAGGGGATAGTGTGGATAAATGATCAGATAGGTACTTTCCTCTACTCATCCAAGCCTACTCAATTCTCTATAATAAAAAAATGTCCTGACAAAAATGGGAACATTTAATTCAAACCCACCTGATTCTAAAAATAAGTTTTTAAATGACTTTTTGTTTGGCATTCCATAGAGATGACTAATTAATTTACTAAATTTCTTCCTTTTTTTCTGGAATTTTGACATTAAAATAAGGATTACTTCATATATAATGTAGTGAAGAGATGTAATCAATCAACCTATACTTATTTATTGAAGATATTATTTTATAAGTGGGGGGTGTCTTTAAGAATCATAAGTTAAAATCCCCTATTTTCTCACATGTAGAAATATGAGGGGAAATATCAGGTGTTAACCTAGATGGTCATGTTTATATTTAAGTCAGGCTGGGATTGATGGGGAGGAGAGTGTTTTCATTGGGATGGAGAAAATGAGCAATGTTCACAGGCAGAGCAACACAGGCAGAGTTGTGAGAATGAGATTAGTTTGACTTAAGAGGGGTCCTGCAGAGGAGTAGAGGAGAGAGTTATGAAGACGACGGTGCTAATGCTGGGGAGACAGGGTTGATAGGACACACTCTAGCCCTTGTATCTCTTACAGACTGACTATAGCTTGATAGATCTAAGTGGAACATGGCCTTGAGTGCTGGATCAAGGACTCTGGACTTTCTCCTTCCAGGCAAAGGGCTTTCCCTCCATAACCTTTTATTTAAAAATTTTCAAATCTACAAAATTTGAAAGTATAGTACAATGAACCCTTACATACCCCTTACCTAGACTCACCTTTTGTGAATATTTACCACTTTTGCCTGTACAGTCTCCCTCTCTCTCTGTATGTATATGTACATGTATATATTTATTTATAAATTTTTGTTGTTGAAATTTTTGAAAGACATTATGATTTCTTACTCCTGCATACATTGGCTCATATCTTCCAAGAATAAAGATATTCTGTTATTTTGTAGCTGTTTTATACTGTTTCATTAGGAGCCAATGAAGGTTTATGCACAAAATCACATCTCTTTAGTTTTCTTTCATCTACACTAACTTTGCTGCCTTTTTGTTTTTCCATATATTGTTATTTTTGAAGAATCCCAGCCAGTTGTCTTGTAGAATGCCCTACATTCTTGGCTTTTCTGATTGTTTCCTCTGTGTTGGACTTGGGTTGAACCTATTGGCAAGAACACGTGATTGGCGTGGGTACATTGTGGGCCTCTCACTGCTATTGGTAATGATAAGTTTGAGCTCTTGGGTAAGATGGTTTCCTTCAGATCTATAAATGTACATTTTCCACTTTGCAATTAGTAAATAATTTGTGAGATAGTACTTTGATATTGTGTCATATCCTGTTCCCTAAAGACATTTGAATTGATGGATTTAGCATCCACTAGTGATCCGCATATCCATTGGTCACCAACTATCACAATAATTGGTTGCAATGTGCTGCTTTTCTATCATTTCTTTTGCATTTATATTATCATTTTATTTCTTCACAGAACTTCCATTTCTTTCTCCACTGCATCTTTCTTTTTGTACACGTTCTATTTCATACAAATTAATAACTGTTATTATTCTTTTAGATGTTGAGATGGTTCAAATATGGCCAATGGGAACATCCATTCAAAGTCAATTCCTGTACCCCTTGACATGTCCTTATCATTCTTTGAACATTTCCTTGCTTTCTGGCACAGATGTTTCAAGCTCATCTTGAATATATGTTGCCCTAGACATGGCAGAAGTTATTGTTCTGACAAGCTATATAATTTGTTTTTGAGCAAGAATCCTATCTAATAAAGAGGGAATATATTGACTGCCCTGCCTTCAAAGGTGGTGGCGCCCACAGCCAATAAGGAGGGAATATGCTAATTGACTGCCCCACCCTCAAAGATGGCAGCGCCCACAGCCACAAGATGGCCAGCAGGGGAGGGCAGTTGTGGGCAATCAGGTCAGCAGGGGAGGGAAGTTGGGGGTGACCAGGCCTGCAGGGGAGGGCAGTTGGGCCAGCAGGGGAGCAGTTAGGAGCGATTGGGCCGGCAGGGGAGCAGTTAGGCATCGATCAGGCTGGCAGGGGAATGGATAGGGGGCAATCAGGCAGGCAGACAGGCGAGTGGTTGGGAGCTAGCAGTCCCAGATTGTGAGAGGGATGTCCGACTGCTGGTTTAGGCCTGATCCCTGGCCTAAACCGGAAGTCAGACATCCCCCAAGGGGTCCCAGATTGGAGAGGGTGCAGCCTCGACTGATGGACACCTCCCCAGTGCACGAATTTCATGCACCAGGCCTCTAGTATAGTATAAAACAAAATATGATTTTGGAAATTTCTCTAGCAGTGATATCATGCCAACTGGAAGTGAGAAAGCCCAGGAACAAGGATTCTATATGGAGACAACTTCAAGTCAAGTGAAAAACACATGCACTGGAGAAAAAGGACATTCAGGAGGAAATGAGTAGCTGAAGATGACTGAAGAAAAATTCCAGAGTTTAAAACTTGGATGAAAAGGAGACAGAAATAGAAATGTCAAGAAAAATAGTTTTGTTTTGGAAAAAATTAATTTAGTTTTAGAAATGTTTTTTTGGTTTTTTTTAAATAAGAGTAGGATAGCCAAACAGAAACATGCAGTAGCAACTTGATGATAAATTCAAAAGCTGAGACTAGAAAAAGAGAGAACAACAAACCTGTAATTTTAGGAGCAGGGTTATCTATATTTCTTTGTTTAAAATTATTTTACTGATTATAACATTAATACATGTTTATTATGGAATATTAGAAAATATATTTCAAAAACAAAAGAATAATTCTGTTTTTCTCTTCTCTGATATTATTTCATCAATATCCTCTCATATGATTAAAAGCTCTTTCAAGTTATATTTCTCATATTGATTTTTATAGGATTTTGCCCCATGATGGAATGAGATAAACAGAGCTACTTTTTGTTTTACAGTAGATTGTTGTTAGTTACACTTTGTAAAGAAAATTTGCCTATTCACCAATGCCATCTTTGAAAAAGGAAGAAGGATGTTTTGAAAAGATTGAGCTCCTTGTTTATTAAATGTACTCTTAAGCAGTTCACTGGGAAGATCAGTGAAGAATTTCTTCATTTAGCAACCATAACATCTATATATATATAAAAAGGCAGTGACCATGACGACCGAAATGACCGTTCCACTGGTCACCATGCAGTGCTAGCATAGATGCATAGACACAGGTAAAGTCTATGAGTGAAATAAGAATGAACAAGACAAATGCTTGTCTTTGCAGAGCTTGCACTGTAAGAAGGTTAGGTCAGGGATGAGAATTCAAAATGGCCACCAGCACAGACCTTAGGTGCTGCTTCCCAGAGCGGCCAGAGATATACCCAGTAGAGGACTAAGGGCGTGACTGAAGGGCTGGTGCCGATATGAAGGCGGGTCAATTCTGGATTTCCCAGAGGAGCCAATAGCTGCCTAGGAGATGGAGCTTTTGACACTGACTGGCATAGAAACCGACCAATCAGAGCTAAATCTGGGTGAACTACAAGGAGCCAATGGCTGCTTAGGAGGTGGAGCTTTTGATGCTGACTGGCATAGAAACTGACCAATCAGAACAAAATCTGGGTGAACTGCGAGGAGCCAATGGCTGCCTAGGAGGCAGCGCTTTTGATGCTGACTGGCACAGAAAGCGACCAATCAGAACCAAATATGGTGAACTGTGAGGAGCCAATGGCTGCCTAGGAGGCGGAGCTTTTGCTGCTCACTGGCATAGAAACCAACCAATCAGAACCTAATCTGGGTGAACTGTGAAGGCAGAACCTAAGGTGGGGGCTGAGGAGGGTTTTAAGGGCAACAGCTGTTTGGTGTAAGGTGTAATAAAGCAGTTCAATTTTTTAATAACCAGTTTGGCAGTATAGTGCATATGGCTGGCTATCAGTCCAGATAAAGGGGTTATGTATTTTTGTCTGCCAAGAGCATATACTCCTGCTGAAAAAGACTTTCCACTCCCCCCCCATTTAAGCAATCCTATCCTATATAATCTATCTATACTAATAAAAGGGTAATATGCTAATTAGACCGGTGGACTGGCCATCTTCCAGACATGTGACTTCCTTACGGACAACGTCATGGTGGTGGGGGCTGAGGCAGAGGCAGTTAGGGGCGACCAGGCCAGCAGGGGAGAGCAGTTAGGGATGATCAGGCCAGCAGGGGAGGGCAGTTGGGGGTCACCAGGCTGGCAGGGTAGGGAAGTTGGGGACATTTGGCAGGCAGGCAGGTGAGTGGTTAGGAGCCAGTGGTCCTGAGTTGCGAGAGGTCCCAGATTGGAGAGGGTTCAGGTGGGGCTGAGACCCACCACCTCCCTGTGCACGAATTTCGTGCACTGAGCCTCTAGTAATATATATGTATGTATACACACACCCTACAATGTAATTAATGCTAGATACCATTGCACAATTGAGGTAAGCATAAAAATAAAGTGAGAATAAGAATCTCTTAGCCCTGGCTGGTATGGCCCAGTTGGTTGGAGCATCAGTCCATGCACCAGAAAGTCTTGGGTTTGATTCCTGATCAGGGCATGTACCTGAGTTGTGGATTAAATCTCTGGCTGGGGTGTGCACAAGAGGCAACTGATCTCTCTCTCTCTCTCTCCTTTTTTTCTCTTCCTCCCTCTCTTAAATCCCTAAAATCAAAAAAATTTAAAGAATCTCTCTAAATCGGTTTCATTTTCTGTAAAATGTAGATTATGTAGATGATTACAGCACTTATATAACAAGGCTGTTTCAAAAATTAAAGCCTATAAAATTATTTGAAAAGTGTAAAGTAATTCAAAATATTACCTATTACTTCAAATGCCCCTATTTGGCCGATAATTGTTTTCCAGGAATAACAGCCCACAGAATTTTGGCAGAAGATGAGATTCTCTGAAGGAATGGATAGAAGCCAAGAAGTTGA